TCTTCCCTGCCTTTATGGTACTTATTATGGTGTAGTGCAGGAGATGGGCAGACAGTCACCAAGTAACCACACAAATATATATACAGTTACAACTGGGATAAGCGCCCTAGTCACAGTGCTGAGTGGGTTTAACAGGGAGACTGACCTTCAGCCATAAAAACTGTCACATTCCCTGCTATAAGGGAACTATTCAATTTCCACAACTACCTGTTAAGGAAACTAGGCTTTAATGGAGATGAAACAGAGTAGCTCAGTGTTTTAACCTCTTATTTGATGCTCAGCCTGTTATCTTATTATTGTTAACTGTAAGGTGTAATCCTCTCTCCCAACAAGAGAGCAAGACCCTCAAGAGCAGACACCATCCATTACGCCTTTTACACCTCCACCACACTCACACGGGTCTTAATTAAACAGCTGAGCACAACCATGCTGCCTGCTGCTGTTTTCTTTAAAGGGCTAAGCAAGCCCACTCTTTGCTCTGGCACTTTGACTCCACAGCTATACGCTGGGAACCTACCATGTGCCAGAGTCTGTGACAGGAGCTGACAGAGGCAGTGCCCTCAGATTCCCACCCAAAATGAAGGAATTCTAAACTTAACGCTGACTAGAAGAAACCCTGTTTTTACTTTCACTTTAGGTTACATTCTCTCTTTTTAACACAGCTCTATCCAGAAAGGAGAAATCCAGAGTACAACTGCCTGAGAGAGCAATTAAGTATGATAAACAGGCATTTAGGAAGAGACTTAAAAGACGAGAAATTTCTATAAACCACTGTACAGCTACAAACGGCAATGTTGAAACAGAACCTTCTATCACTGAAGTCAACCACGCGAACGAGCCAGTGTGATTGGACGTAATCCCTCTGGCTGAGGTGGTGGGGCTAATCTAAGGGGGGAGGGCAGAATTATGTCCCCAGTAAAGGCGAAATGATGGGCTGGCCATTGCCCCCACAGAAACAGGGTGAGCTCAGTGCCAGCAAGCCACTGGTCCACCCTCCCTAGTACCCAACCAAGGACCCTTAAAACAAACAATAATTCTGTTCTAGAAAAGTAATGTCAAGAAGAACAAGGCAAAGAAAAAAAAAAAAGAAAAGAAAAGTAATGTCTCCCCATAACACAGGGGGCCACAGTTACTCTTGCTTTTACTCCCATACTCTGGTTGACTGGCTGATGGTTCTATTTCCATCCCATCTCTCAGTGAACTCCACATAGTGCTAAAAAACTATAAGGGAAACAAAAGACTACAACCACAGAGTTCCAGAGTCCACCTGCAAACACTGGGACCTATGGCAAAACACAAATGGACTGCCAACTCTAATGGTCTATTTCACAGAACAGCTAGCTATGCGGACTCAGAAAAGTTTACAAACTTTAAACGATCCTCAAATCTCTGCACTTCAATGTTACCTACACACGCCACCTTAGGGGAGAGTATTTTAGTAGCAGCCCTGGTATGACATACTGCCAAGATCACTGGCTCTATCCAGGGGACGCTGCCCATATAAAGACAAGATATAAGTATTTAAGCAAGAGTTCTTTAAGATATCCTTTGATTGTTTACCCCTGGTTTGGTCAAAAGACTGAACCTGGCAACTGGCAGTCCTGGGTTCTAGTCCCTGTCCAGCTGTAGACTGGGATCATGATCTTGAGCCTGTTTTCTCACCCTGATATAGCAACGACAGTAGGAGTGGTTAGCAATGGTAACTGTTCAATTACAATACACAGTATAATACTTGCCTCATAGAATTGCTGTGCAGATTTAATTTTACATTGCAATACAGATGTTAGTTACTACTTATTTTTTTATTTAAGCAAAAGGAGACCATTCCGTACGTTTATTTTATAGAAGAAATACAGAAAACAGAGGATAGAGTTTGGATCTCACATTTAAAGCTATTTTTTTTTATACAAGTATCCCCCATTCTTGGTTAGGATCCAATTCAATCAGTATTAGTTTCTTTTTAAAAAACAAAAGGCTTGGGGCTGGCCCAGTGGTGTAGTGGCTAAGTTCATGCACTCCGCTTCGGTGGTCTAGGGTTCACAGGTTCGGATCCCGGGCCCAGACCTAGCACCACTTGTCAAGCCTTGCTGTTGCAGCATGCCACATAAAATAGGGGAAGATTCGCACAGATGTTAGCTAGGGAATAATCTTCCTCAAGCAAAAAGAGGAAGACTGGCAATAGATGTTAGCTCAGGGCCAATCTTCCTCACAAAAAAAGAAAGGCTTAAGACATGTATGACAGATAATCCAAATACTAAGTAAGAAGTCACCTGGAAAATAAAGAAGCTCAAATCAAAGGAGACTGGAGACCTTTCCTTCAAGAATCTGATCTAAGCCCTCAAAACTTACAGGGTAAAATAATAATTTTATGATTATTTACATAATGTCACAACCTTAATTACTGCAATCCAAATCAAGAATTAGCCAATTTCCTTTGGTTCAAATACCACATTTTAAAAAATTGCAACACTGAGTGAGAACTCGGAAGTCTGAGACCGAAGTGTTCTGCTGGACTCCCTGAAGCACCTGTGAAACAGTGCTGGCAGACAAGGAGAGCAGGGAGGTCATGGAACTTAGATGGGAAGGGGTGGGGTGCGACCAGAGCCAGCAGCCATTTCCTTTATTCATACTTCGTACGAAACACTTGGATTGTAACACAGGACAGGATTCTCAACTCAGAAAGGCACCTGGTAAATTCCCACACTGGGGCTCTGTTGATGGGTTCTACGAAACCCGGCCCCTCAAGCACTCCTCTCCCCGAGTCTCGCTACTTCTCTGACCTCATCTCCTGCCACCATCCCTTCACTTACTCCACTGCAGCCACTCTGGCCTCTATTCTCCTTGGCGGGCCCAGGAATGCTCCCCCGTTCCTGCCTCTGGACTACTACACTCACCTTCCCTCTGCCCAGAATGCTCACCACCAGACAGACACATGCTCTTTCCTTCGCTTCCTCCAAACCCCTGGTGGAACGCTGCCTGCCAGTGAGTTTTCTTGTCTGCCCTAATGACAGTTGCAGCCCTTCTTCCCGTTTAACTTTCTCCACAGCGTTCTCGACATACTGTATATAGTTCATCATGAGTTCATTTTCTATCTTCTCCTCACCAGAATAAGGGCTTCTGGCTCTGTTTTGTTCACTGCTGTATTCCTAGTATCTAGAACAGTGCCTGGCGTGTAGCAAACCCTCAATAAATATTTGTTGAATGGAGTGAGTGAATAAATGAATGGGCCACGATGAATGATCAACTATTCAGTCGTAAGCTACCAAATCCACACTGTCCACTTCCTTGAAGAAAGGAGACAACAGGATTCAGGGTAACGTAATTTTAAGGACTTATGGAAGAATGTTATGGCAATGTAAAATAGGCTCGTTAAGGTAAAAGGTTTGGCTGAGCTCCTATGACCCGCCTCTCACAAACTGTTCTCAAACTTAAGAATGCCGAGGAATCACCTGACCGCTTGTTATAAACACAGATCCCCCGGCCTGCCTCTAGCAAGGGGGATTCAGGAGAAATTCTGATGTGGGTGGTCCAAGGGCACCTCTGGGAAACAATGCCTTGGCACTACTCCTGGTTAGATATGAGACTTGGGAGAAGGCAGCTCTTGTGATTTAGTTCACCACTGTAATGGAGACCATGGCATACGAATAAGCACTGACTGTCAACAGTTTAGACGCGCACAAGAGATAACTCTTTGCACGTGTGTACTTGGACTGTAAGGGTGAGTCTCACTCCCCATCATAAACATTTCTTTTGGTACTCAGACAGTGTTGTGTCCAGGAATGTTGTCATTCCAGGTAAGTACCTTGATCCACAGCCATTAAACCAAGTCCACACTAAGTAGGCCTGACCCATGGCAAATTCTGGTTTTGCAATACTAGGTATTCACATGGCCTCTTGGCTGTTTTGTTTTCCTCATAAAGGTCAGACCTGCCCCATGCTACAGCCACATAGAAAGCCACACCTTAGATAAGGTATAAAGCACATGACTTACCAGAGTGGCAATATAATCAAACAGAAACCATAATCATTCCACGTTTGATTCTGGATAACCAAACCAACCCAGGACCCTCACCACAGAGCTAAATCAGGAGAGCCATTCAAAGCACAGCTGAGAGCAATGATTTTTCTGAAAATGGCTGCTTCTTTAAACACTGGATCATTGAACCAAAAATCCCAGGTCCTAGTCCCTGCCACTTACACCACTGAACTGTTGCAGGAAGCAGCCAGCTACATTCTCTGTCAAGGACGGAACTAAGTGTGCAAACAGATGTTTTCTCTAAATTCAAAGGAGCGACCCTAATCCACAGGCTGCTTACTCAAAGCTTCCAACTCTGTTTTTCAAATGAAGAAACAGTTGGCGCCTACCTCTCCAGGGAAAACATTAGTTTCCGGAAGGCCACCAGTGGGGTGGGAAAAGGGGGGAGCAGCACAGTTATTTTTTTCTTCCATTTCATAGGAACATGTCTCTTTACTGAAGTCTTTCGTCCCACAGTTTAAAATGCTCTTCACGCTCTTTTGAAAGAGCAGCTGTTGGGACTGTGAGACCACTGGTGTCCAGGTTGGGTCAAACACATTCCTGGGAAGTGTCATCTAAAATGAGCACTAACTTTCAACCACACGGAACAAATGCTCATGGACGTCTAGGGAATCACTGACCTCAGGAATCCTTAGTGTTGTCCCAAACTACTAGGGGCTACTCTCTATACTATAATGTACAGTTCTAATAATTTCTTGAATGAGTACTTTATTACAAATAATACTAATTTTAAAAGATAATTCCTACTGATGTCTTACAAGAAGCTCTATTCCACCTGACACTAAAGCAGGGAACCTAGAGCAGGTAAGGTGTGTGAAGATTCCCCCAAAGAATCAAAAATGAAGGAAACCATGTTACCTGAACAGCCCTGACTCCAGTTCTTTCCAGAAGGGTGAGTGCCCTGTTAAGACCCACAGCAAGTTCCAAACTGGTGGTGGCCAATCAGCTTTTTCAATAAACTCACCTTCTCTCCCTGGAGGGAGGGGACCGAGTCCCGCAGACTGTGAAAGCTGTCTTTGATGTGGTCCCTGCGTTTTCGTTCCAGTGCATTATGATGAGCCCGTTTGTCAGCCTAGGGAAATGGGAGAAAGAGCACATTAGCAAAGTCACTCCTTCTGCTTGGAACAGGTGTGTGGGGTACAGCCTGGAAGTATATGCTGTCAGCGCTGTCCCTGGCGATTGCACGGGGAAGGATTTGTCGAGGGGGGCAGTTAGGAGTCTCCAGAATTAGGCTCTGCTAAAGGGGGAGAAAGGGGTGAGCAAGGCTTGCGACAGGAACATCCAAAGTAGCTCGATGCATCCAGCTCATGCATAAGGAAAATAAATGTTATTCATGGGGACAAAGTGTGACTCTCCTGCAACATTAGTCTTCCCCTACAACTTACTCATGTGACAGAACAACTGCTAGTCCATGGTTGGGAGGTGACCAGGTAAAAGCTCCAGTGGGCCCCTTCCTAAGACGCGGAAGAGATCCCCCATGGCGGGTACCCAGGGAAGGAGTCAGGTCACCGGCGCAGGGCTTCTCTCCATGTGAAACCCAGAACCATGAGTCTGGTGTGGTCTCCAGCTAGGCAAATGAACCAATTTAAGACCTTTTCATCAAATCATACAAGAGAAACCAAAACCTCTAGAAAACCCAGAGGCATGAATCTGCAATCATGAAGACAGAGCTGATACTGACATGAACTGCATTCTGAGTTCCTGTTTTTTAAGGCGGATCCAAGGTACTATCCTGCCAAGGGCTTCCTCTCACACAGGCTTTTCCAGAAAGACAGTTCTTAGATGGCAAATCTTCTGACACTCACATGCTCTGAATAAATTTCCTCAGGCACCTGTGGCAGGTCATGCTTATTTGGCAGTATCTAAATACCCATGGACCAAAAAGTCTTTATCCTGCCCTGCTTAGAATTACAAATAAGAACATCAGCTGGCAAGGGACGAAGACTGCCAACAAATCAGGAATGGCGAAATATGCTGGCTTCAGGCAGACGAGACAGTGCTGGAGAGCCTGCAGGACAGCTTTAGCAGGTCCCCGTGAAAGGGGCACTCCCTCCAAATGGGACACAGATGCCTACTCAACCTACCGCGAGAATGACATCACATCAACACTTTGGGAATTACGGAAAACAATACCTGAGAATTTATCCTGAATACACAAGGTTGCACTGAGCTAACCTAAAGAACAAGTCTGTATATGGGCAGTTCTGGTAGTTTTAATCTACCTGGACAGAGCACCAGGAATTTTAAAAATAAATAACTTGGCTTAGGCACAAGAATGCCTGAAATGAATCCTGTACTAGACAAGACGTACAGACAAAAATCTATAAAGACAAGAGTTGCAGGGTCAGAGGACTTGAAATTCTATTATCTAATCCTAGAAGTCTGAGTCAGGCTGGGAGCAGCTGTGACAACTCCAGGCACTTCCTGGACTCTCCAGCGCCTCACCTTACCCACAGCTCTGCTGAGTTGGACACGTGGTTCTCCTCAGCACATGCTCATTCTCAGGGCAGACGCCTGGAGCACCTCTAGAGCTCTCTTCATCTTGTTAAATCTGAATTCACTGTAAAATGAGTGTTTGCTGAGCTCTAGTGATATATGGAATTTATGGGGAAAGTGAAGGAACAGCCAAGCTTAGAATACCAGAGAACTGGAGGCCAGAGGTAGGTTTGCCATATCATACAACGTTAGAGGAAGAAATCAGCTGATGCCTTCTAACAGCAGGATGAAATAGCTTGAGGGAATTAAACATATTTAAGGACCTAGTCCTTTTCTAACTTACTGTTCCCTCTAGTCACCTACACAGGTAAGTTGGGCTGGCTTCTAATCTGGACTAGATCTAAAGAGCTTAGAAGCTGAGAGATGGCATTTGGCATCTATCTGCCTCTCCTGTGTTTTCTACACTCCCTAAGATGGTTTATTTACATGCAAATTAATCGTCCAGCTTTGGTCTCTAGCAGCAGCCCAAGATACTCATGTCTACTAAATCACCCTGATTCCTGGCCCTCCTCCCAGCTTAAGAGCTGTGCACAGAAGCAGTGACACCAGGGTTACCCACAATCCCTCTTGTTGATACAAATAAAATTCTAATTGTCTGTTTTCTTTCTGGGAGAGCCCTGCAAATCTCAAACGGCAGAATCAAGCCGGACTTGGTTTCACTCAGGCCTGCTCTAGAGGGGTGGAGCTAAGTATAATCTAACACCAAAATCATCCCCACAATGCACTACCCCCTTCCCATTCAGTGAGCCCTGAAAGGACTCAAATGGACAAGTCTTTTGGTTAGAGGATTGTAAGTGAACTTGGCTGTGGACCATCAACAGAAATCCTGGCTTCTCATCTGGGGAGCCAGCCAAGTTTGAGAAGTTGGCTCAACAAGGAAAGGCAGCAGTCCACTGCCTGGTAGAAAGCCTGGCTAGGGACTGTTGTTCTCAAAGTAGTGGATGGAATTTCTGTGGTGTTTCCAGGCCCAATTTAACTAGCAGAAGAGTGGAATCTTAGACCAATCCCCGCTGCTGTGTCCATCCCCAAGCTGCTACGCCTAACCAGAGTCGATTTTAAAGCTCTCAGAGACAACGGCAATGATGTCTTTTTCTCCTCCCTAAGCCTTATTTGAAAGAGCAAGTTAAAAATATGCAGAATTAACATGCCTAATTCCAGGCAACTCTGAACTAAACAATACCTCTAGTGGCTTGAAAGAGCATATGAAAAACCTTTACACAAGGCTGACTCTGTTTGGGAAACATTTCCAAACCATAGATCCATCTAGCCCGCTAACACTGCTGCTTCCTGTACCACCACCACCTCCCCTCCCTTCATCCAAATGGAGGGCCAGGTGCCAGGCTTATCATTGCTTTGTTAACTGTCTTCACTTGCTGGCAACCTTTTTTGAAAGGGCCAAGGTTTCAGAGTTGAGAATGAAAAACTGGGTGAAGACTCCCAGTGTAAGGCATCTGAGATCCCCCCACAAACTCAAAACTAGTGTTAAAAAAAAAAAAAAGGGAAAGCGCCAAACAATTGTGTCTTGAACAAACAAAGCTCAACTCAGATGAAACAGCTTTCTTTCACCAATACTCTGCAAGATGTTTGATAACGAAAAGAATGGTACCAAACAAATTCTAGAAGACAACAGAGGTAATCTTGGGCTGTACAGCAGGCCCCCAAGTACCTCCTCTATACATCCTACAGGAGCAGTGGCTAGATGCTGCCGCTCTTCAAGTACACTGACTTTGCTGTTTCTGCCAGAAAACCCTTCCTTCAGGGCATCCCAGGCTAAGAGAAATACTGAAGGGCTGTGCGATACTGAAGAGTGGCCCACAGATGCTCAACAGGAACTCCAGCACCAAATCACTTCCAGCTTTGACAACTCTGCCAAGGTTTTTATTCAGCCTCTCAGTTTTATTTCCACCAAACTTTCCATACTGGTAGCCAGAATAAAAATCTTCACCTACAATTTGTCCATCTCTGACACTAATAAGCACGTGTATCTTAAGTGCTGTTAAATGTTGAAAGCAAACATTATTTTGTTAGCCAAGAAGTGGTTAAACTAGCAGGATGTCATTCAAGCTAAGAAGGTCTGTTCAAAATTGAGAAATTCTTTAAACTATTTCCTTCCAACTTATTGCAGAGAATGCATCTTCGTTCAAGGCATTCCATCAGTGAGCAACCTTATTTCCTACAAGTTCTAGGGAGGCAAATAGCATGGGAAAATAAATACTCCATTATTCAAGGATGCATAAGGGTCTCAAGAACAATGCCATTTCTTGCAGGCTACCTGATACCTAACCCCATCTATAAGGGGAATCTTCTCAATTCCAATGTACAAAATCCTCAGCATACCGGGAATTAGAGCTGCCTGCTATACATTTACTGCCTTTAAGAAATTCAAAGGTTGCATTTTAGATGGAAGGTAGTGTTACTTATGATGATTAATAACCTATTCTTATCAAACACTAATACTGGAAATACATGGGCTCAAAAATTCTCATCAGAAAAGATCTATTTATTATTTCTGATAGATAAGAAGTGAAAAGAATAACAAAACTGAACTTCTAAGCAACTTATTCATTTTAATCAACAGGAAAATTGTAACAGGAAATAATGGGCAGCTAGGATGAGAAACCCACTAAGGTCCTTCATAGGAAGAGATAAATGGCAACCTTCCAACACCTCTCCTGCTTGAAGCCGACTGCCTGGTATACACTCTAACATCTAATAAATATGTGTTTTTGAGGCTTTTTTTTTTTTTTTAAATCATTTGGTGCCTAAAAGAACTTGGGAATGCCATTATCAAAAAATGCCATCACGCTATAGCCATTTAAGAGAGTAAGAATGCCTTGGTCAGTAAGAATGCCAGGAAATTTTAATTAAAAACCAAGTTAGATTCCTTGATCAACTATTTTGCCACTACTGGCATCTTGAAAAAAGACTTTTAAATGTAAGAACACCCTTTCCTGTAACAAACACGCATATTCAGAAACCAAACCTGGCATTTCTGCGTTACTATCAACACTCTAAGCAGACACAAAGTACAAGCATCGTGCAGCACTTCTGCCACGCAACTAATTCCAGGTAAAACAGCCAACTCAGAGTAAACTCCAACCTCAAAAGCAACCAAGCTCATTCTCGTCTGGATACATTGCAATTCCTAAAGAAGCAAAGAGCTCTGAGAAGTTAAAAATATTTCATACCAGAAAGGCCCAGAAGTGGATTTGCACAAATCTTTTTTAAATCCCCTAACAGGTATACCGTATCTGCAACATGTTCAGCTGTCATAAAGGATAAGAAGCTGGAAAGGCCCTGGATCTCCTGACCAAGGCACTAACCCTTCATTTCTTATATACCTCCAGTCTTTCCAAAAGGAACTTCCTAAACAAACAAAACAAAAGCATCACTTCGCATGAAATACACCTGTCCCAGAAAATGATCTGTAAAATGCAACCTTTTCCCTCCAAAAAAATAATAAAAATAACATAATGGAATTCTGAGACGTATTGAATTTAGTAATAAAAACATTGTTTGGGGTTACTTCCTTTAACAAAGCATATTGGTTCCTGGAGAAGCTGTTTTCCGTTTGCACTGAGGCAACAGAAAAAAATATTCGTCAAATCAGTTTCACTTTCTGTTACCCTCATTTCCTAACTCTGTTCTTGCTGAGTATCCTGCATTTCTCATGCAGTAAGGCCATACCTGCTGTAGTGACATTATCAAATACGAATGTTTCTTTTCATATTAGGACCCACAGAACCTTTTCCAAATAACTTTTTAAGTTCTTCCGTAGTCCTAAATATTTGGTTGTTCACATTTTTCTTCTGAACTAAGGCAAAGTTTAAGAATAGTTTCCCCTGCCAAGTTTTAAAAAACATATTTATTATCCATACTAAACGTCAGGAAGTAAACAGAAGTATTCACAGAGAAAAAAGAAAAAGAAGTCCTTTTTACCCTAGATCTTCATCATAACTGTCTGATACACTATAAAATTTTTTTATGACCCATTTGCTGCTTCTCTCCATGCTACTCTGATTATCTTATGCCAGGTACTATTTACAAGTCCCAGCAAGGAGACGTCAAATGAAAAACAAAGGATCAAACCTGCTCCCTTTACCCACTCCCCAAATCAAAGGGAAAAATCATAGGCACCTTAACACTAAACTAAAAATATCTATACAAAAGAATGAGATTAGCGTCCTAGGAGAGTGGAAACATTTTAATAATTTAATAAAGCAATTTACATCAACATCCATGTGGATGGCTATTTTGAAGAGCAGAAATCTTACAAGAACTGTAAGCCAAAATTTCAAAGAAAACTTTTCTCTCACTGGAAAGCCAAGGCAATTCCAATTCAAATAATGATTCCGCAAAAGAAGCCAAACCAATCCCTATCCTCCAACCCTGATCAAGCCCTGGGCAGATTTTATAACTGCACGCTTGGAGGGAACAAACGTTTTAAATAGACTGAGTCCCAAACAGGAAACTCCACATTCACATTATTAAGGATACTAGTAACTGAAAAAAGAAAAAGGAATTGAATTTTCAAATACATCTCCAAATATAAGTATCTAACAATATTTCAAGGAGAAATAAATTCTTTTCAGTGACTACTACCCATGGGTAATTTTTAAGACCCCTGGAACAAACGCATCCTCTGATTTTATGGAAATATCAGCTTTCAATAAATAAAATTTTTCTCAATGCCACTCTTCTTGGACAAGCTGGAGAAGCTCTGCTTGCTCTAATCCAGAGCAGGTACGAGTAAAAGGGCTTGTTCTTATCCTGGGATAATTAAATTCTTAGACCAAATTCTAGCAGGCCCCCAAACAACCTGATTATCCCACACATCTTTTTAAAAATTATAAAAAAAAAAAAATCTGGATTTCGAATTTTTTTTTAGACATAGGAAGATCTGGGCACACTGAGCCCTTGCTCTCACATAGCAACAGCCCACGTGGAGTCCAGTGGCTGACTTCTCGCAGAGGCATGTGCTCTCCAGTACCCCAGTCCTCACCTCTGCTCTCTACTTTATTTCTGACCATCTCATGGCCTGGGTCCCTCCAGAGGCATTGGAATTTTTGAGCCCCATTCTATACACTTCGTACTGTTCCTATCTGTCAAATATTAGACACTCTGATATACTTTTCTTCCTGTCTCTGATTCTGATTTTGGGTCTATTCTTTTTTTCCTTTCCCTAATCTGTTCATGGAACACCCACAGTACTGTCTCAGACTGTAAAGACACAAAATTAGTATCTATCGAAACCCTAAGAACCACCTACTGAAAACATTTAATACCAAAACCCTGAAAGATTACTGATACCACTGCATGATCTCAACCATCACCTTTTAACAAACTTCTCTCTGAAAGGCCACTGTTCTTCACCCATTTTTCTATTTTCTTTACGCTTCTCCTTCAACTCAAATGTAGTCAGACCACAAGAAGATGTATCTGACACTTTCATATTCAACCTCTGGCTCCTCTACATTCCCAATTTCTGCATTAAAACAATACCATGTTGTGCTAGATTCTATAGGGCTACAGCAGTCACATGACTTTTGGTTACAGATGATTACGGCATGTGGCTTCAGATTCACACAACTAGGCAGATACGGTTTAGAACCTACTAGTTCTAAAGTAAATCTTCTGACCATTTTGCCCTGAAATAATACTACAATTTACTTTGATTTTATTTATCATTTCCTACTTATACAGTGACAGCTAGATGCCCCATCGGAAAACTACGAACAATTCACTTCTTTGCATACAGCTCCTCTCACTCACCTACAGTCTCTGGAATTATCACCTGAGAATCTAGAACTATGAGATTTGCAAACCCGCCCCCCCACCACCACCTAGACCCCCAGAACAAGGCCCCCACCTCACCTTAGCGGTTAACAGGAGAGTTTACTACAATATTAAAAGTAATAGAAGGATCTCTTTTTCTCTCTGACCCCAAAAAGGACTAGAACTGAACGGAAATGAAAATGAAATGGAGAGTAGGAGACGTACCGCAGATTGAAACCTCGGTTGCTCTTCCTGGAATAAGAGAGAAAAAAAAATAGAAAATATAGAAGTTATTTTTACACTTCACATTGAATAATAAGAAAGAAAATGCCGGCGGTGGAGGAAGCGGCGGGTGGGGAGTCAGCCCGACCCCCCCGCTCCCCACGCCCCATCTCCCCAGCGGGATCCGGTAGCGGGGCAGGGGGGTACCGAGCGCCGCCCCTCCTTCCGGGATCCGACTCGGCCAGAGAGGGTCCAGAGCACTGCCTCCTACCCCCGGACCGAGCTCGGGGCATCTGGGTACTCCCAACCCCTCTCTGCCCTCCCTCAACCCCCAGGATCCGGGTCACGCGAGGGGATCGCGGACCCAGGCAGCAGGTCCTGAGCGCCGTCCCCTTCCCCAAGATCCGGACAATAGGATCCCGGGCGCACCCCATCTCTGTCCCCCGGATCTTGGGCGGGATAGGGTGGGAGCGGGAGGCCGCAGCACCCTCCTCCACGGGGGAAAGTGGGGGATCCCAGAGGCCGCGTGTCTCCTCCCCAGCTCCAGTCCCAGAAGGCCGCTCCGGCCAGGAGCCCGGAGCCGAGCGAGCTGGGATCGCGACGGAGGCGGTCCTGGCCCGGGGGGGATGGGGAAGGAGGCGGCGGCTGCTCGGCCCCCTCTTGCCGTCGCCCGGCTGAGAGCCCCGGCCGCTGTCCCCGCCTGACAACCCGCACGGGAAGGAAGAAGCCCCAGGACTCACGTCGCTCTCCACCTCGATGTCATCGTTATCGCTCATTTCCTACGGCCCAGGGAGCGGCCACTGCAGCGGCGGCAGGGAGGGGGGAGGGGTGGAGGGGAGGGGGAAGTCACCGACAACAACAAGCCGAGTCCCCCCACACACACACTCACTCACTCACTCACTCACTCGCTCTCTCACTCACTCACACACACAACACGGGCGAGAACCACCTCCTCACTGCAGCACCGGATCAACGGCGGCACGCACGCCCGGTCGGCCCCCTCCACGTGACCGGGCTCGTCACGCTTGGGCCGCCGAGACTTGTAGTTCTTGTCCCTTTGACTGACGGTCCAGCTAACGCCAGAAAAACTACAAATCCCATAAAGAACTGCATCCAGTTGACGCCAGCCCGGCTTGTTGACTGATCCCAGAGCGCCTGCGTGTCCTGTGGAAGGGGGCGGAGAGAGAAGCGGCGCGGTGCCTGCTGGGAGTCGTAGTCCGCAGACCGCGAGTTGTCAGGAGGCTTCCCTCCCGAGGCAGCAGAGGAGGCTGCTGGGAAGACAGGACACGTGGAGCGAGCTGGGGCTCCTGGAGCTGGGCACCGTCTGAGCGCCGGGCGCCGGGCCCAGGGGACAGGGTGGAGGCTCTGGTGGAGTAGCCGGTTGCCTAAATAACGCTGCCTCTCTTTGGTGCGACTGGTTTTACTTTGTCTTCTTCATGCTTGAGTCTCTGCTTTGCGCCCTGTGGCGTAACCCGCCAGTGGGGGTATCCTACTGTGGTGGACAAGGGGGCGCGGCTCGGGATGTCTGCTCGTACCCTTGGGATCTGTCTGTGGGGAGGTGTCAATGGCAGATATTAAGTGGTGTTACAGGGCAGCCAGGGTGACCGGCCTTGCTGAGGGACCTCTCCCAGCCACGAGAAGCTTGTATTCATTCGTCGGGAGTGACCATCCTTGCTACTCACATGAGGCTCGTAAATTCATTCACAGACCTCCGACCCTCAACAACGGGTTTACGTGGAAGTAAAAGCCTCTTCTGAGTTTGTGGTAGCCCAGCTGGTTTAGGGAGTGCCCCAGTTCAGAGTACCATAATTAAGAATCACAGAAAGTATCAAAACGGGAAACTTGTGCAGCTCCCTATTCAGTCAAAATCATATTTAAATACTGTGGCATGAGGGTTGATCATATCCATTCCACCAATATTTTTGGACACCTAACATGTGCCAGCATGGGGATACCGTAGTGTATAAGACTGGCTCAGTCGCTGCCTTCCCGCAGCTCAGCTGTGGAAACAAATATGAGATTGCCCTGCCGCCATTTTAAGAATGTACATCAAGTCTCACAGGAAGGAATAAAAAAATAGTAACAAGACACTTTCAATCCCGACGTAAACAAAGTAGCTGAACTACACTTTTACATTTGGTCTCCAAAATGAGTGAAATCTTGAACTTTTCCCATAAATTACTGATTCCCCAATGGAAACCATTTTATCCCTGACTTTTGAATACAGAAATTTGGGGATATGTCATGACCTTTGTAACATCTCCCTATGTGAGCATATCATCCATGCTGAAGAGACAAGTGTAAAGGTAGTAATCTTTCCTTTACATTTTTTCCTTTAAATATCTGTGCTATTTTTATTCACTCTTTGAAATCTGGAATCATCGTGTCTTTGCAGGTAAACTCATCTTTTCTAAATACTTTTGTCTCCTTGGCTTCTTCCACACTAAGCTGGAGAGACAGACTTAAGCAGACCATTATGTCGTAAGAGCCCATGGGCTCTAAGGTAGACAGGGAAGGTAGCTCTTGAGTGAGTTAATTACCTGGATATTAGAAGCTAGGGCTAATTCACTATTACAACAATTACTGGGTGCCAGTTATGTGCAAAGCATTATAGCGCAACCCTGCCTACAAGTTAAAATCACTCCAGAGCTTTTAAAAATCCCGATGCCCAGGCTGCACCCCAAAGCAATTAAGTCAGAACCTCTAGGAGTGAGAACCAGGCAGCAGTAGTTTTTTTAAAGCTCTGCAGGTGATTCCAATGAGCATGAAGCTGGAGACCACTGCCACAGAAGATGCCAAGATAGATAAGATAGTCTTCCACTGAATCGTCTACTTTACAGGAGTGAATTTTATGGTTTGTCAATAATTATATTTCAATAAAGTAGTTATTATTAGAAAAAATGGGATAATCTTTGCACACCTAGAATCTAAAACCTGACGGGAATAAATTATGACCACAAATAATTGCAATTCAGAAGGTGGACTAAGTGGTTTTTGGGGGGGCTTTTTCCTTCTCCCCAAAGCCCCCCAGTACATAGTTGTATTATTCTAGTTGTGGGTCCTTCTAGTTGAGCTATGTGGGATGCCACCTCAGCATGGCCTGATGAGTGGTGCCATGTCCACGTCCCGGATCCAAACCAGTGAAACCCTGGGCTGCCAAAGCAGAACGTGCAAACTTAACCACTCGGCTGTGGTACCAGCCCCTAGACTACCTAAGTGTTAAATTAGCTTACAGGCAGTGCATGCTGGGAGGGCTTAGAGGAGGGAGAAATATTTCCAGGTCTGCTGTGGAGTGGAGAGGTGTTGGTGATCAGGTGAGCCTTCTTAGGCTGTCAGCGCCATCAGGGCAAGGACTGGGTCTGCAGAGACCAGGTCAGATTTTGGTGACTACGAATCCCTAGTTCTTGGGTGGAGGCCTGGGCAAGTAGGCAGAGGTGAGGAGGAAAGGCTTTCCAGGAAGAGAGACTGGAGATTTTAACATATATCTTTTTAGTGATTGATAGCATATGAAGACCTGTCAACCCACTTAATAAATTTGACCTGAGACATAAAACACCACACCCAACAAATGTAGAATACATCCTTTTCAAGCACTCATGGAAACATTTACAAAAATTGACTGTGTTCTGAGTCATCAAGCAATATCAACACATTTCAAAGGATCGTGATCTTAGCAAGTTCTTGGACCCAATGCAATGAAAGTAGAAATAATAACTAAAAGATGACTAGAAAATCCTCATAAGTTTGGAACTTAAGAAACACTTTTAAGCAACCCAAATGGAGAGACTTTCACAAACAAGGCATATACACAGGAAGGAACTAGACATATGAGAACAGAAATGTCCTCTCGTTTTCCTTTTTAGTACTTTTCTGACGTGAATAATAATCTAGGACTCTAAGAAGTCGTTTCATCTCTGCATGCTTGAGCGTCTTGGTAAAGCCCTGTGTGAGCTCATTAAGACTGGGCCTTGTCAATGGGCCGCCCAAGCTAGCTCTTTGCTACTTCAAGTTTGGTCTAGTGGTATTCACATCCTCAGGGAGCCACCCCAACCCTGCTAACTCAGATCCACATCGTAACACTCTGCCCAGGGGGTTCATACGCACGTCAGAGTTTGGGAAGCTATGATGAGGGTGGAAGGGGACAGCAAGTGGGGAGGGCAGCAGACTATCACCATTTTCTCCTCAGCTCATTTACAATTTGGCTTCCACTTTACCACTTGACTAAAATCACTCTTATCCAGGCCTCCAGGTACGTCTTTATTGCTAAATCCCAAGTGCTTATCTTATTTGACCTGCTAGTGGCCTTCACTGTTGACACTCCTCGTTCTCCAAGGCTGGGAACTCTCCCGCTTTCCTTCCACCTCCTTAGCTGCTCCTTCTCCGCCTCCTCGGTTCCTCTTGCCCTGTCAGGGCTTGAGTTCCAGGGGCTCTATGGGGACCCTCACCTCTTCCCTGCCCACCCTCTGCCTGGGGGCATCCTCTGCTTCCCCAGGCTTTCGTGGCCCTCTTTCTGATGGCAACCCCAAGACTGAATCTCTTGAGCTCTGGATTGTTATATTTAATTGATTTCTCGACACACCTACTTGGGTTATTCCACAGGCAACGCAAAACTTGAGGCTTATGGATGAATGAGAAAAAGTAGGTCTGACTTAGCATTTGGAGTATGATTCATTCAAATAAAATTGAACATATCTGTACGAGTGTATATGTAGAGAAGGATACTCAGCAAAAAACCGTTAATAGCATTTATCTCTGGGAGGTGGGATTCCGATGATTTTTCTTTTTCTGTTCTTTTTAAGTGAGCAGCATCATCTCGCCAAAACAGTAGGGCTATTAAAAGACAACCACTATCTCAGTAAGTCGGTTATCTTTCCTAAGCAGCAAACTTCTCAAGTCATAATCCTTAGGGAGACAGTCCCTTCCTTTTCCTATGTCACTTACGCTTGCTTTCTCCTTATTTGAGGGAGAGGGTGTAACCACGGAAGTCCCAGCAGGAACCAGCAGGCACATTCAAATTAGGATCATTCGAGGAGCTTTTAATCACGAGGTTGTTTACAAAGATGTGGGCAGGATGTGAAGAAACTGCGAGGGATTGTGCAGTACCACAGGGACGCTGTGCCCAGCCCGAGGCCTGCAGGGGTGAGGGAACGAGTGGTTTTCGGAGCTGGGACAGGGGCTGCCTGGAGGGGGCCCTCTGACAGGAGCTCAGACCCGGGGCCCAGGACAACTGGATCTGGAGGACCAGCAAAGGACTCTTTCTGCCTCTTCTCACATTTTCAGAGAGTACTGGGAACTTCTCATCCTTCTGCTGCCTGTTCTCCACCCTGCAGTCAGATTGCTCTAGCAGGAATGAAGTATCCTCCCTCTCTTGATTCAACCTTTCTATCCCTCTCATTGCCCTCAGGATAAAGCCTAGGCTCCATAGGCTGGCTCTTCATCCCATCTCTCAGCAACTGCTTTCCCATCCTGTCTACTCCAGCCATGCCCAATGTCTTGCCTTTCCCCAAAGGACCATGTTTTCCTTTGCCTCCAGGGATGTCAACACGCTGTTCCCTCTGCCCTTAGCAGTATCTCCTCCAAACTACTCCCACTCACCCTCCTCTACTTCTCATCCTTTGGGGCTTAGCCATCATCTCCAGGAAGTCCTCCTGGGTTCTCCAATGCTGGATTAGGGAGAATGGGTTGAGTCACAGGCAACCAGTTTCTCCTCTCAAACTCTAAGCTGATGAGTCACTCCTCCTGTGAGGGGTGACAAATAAAAATGGCAAGCAATAGGAAATATTGGAGAATATGAGGAAGCCGAATTCGGCCTGACCTTGTCTTTCCAAAAGGGGCTGACTGTGGCTGTTGAGCATGCATTGTATATCTGCTTTAGATATTCCCTATGGCAAGAACAAAGGCCCTTGAGATAAAGGTGCAACTTCCCTCCCCCTCCCAACGTTGGCGTCTCCTTAAGGATTAAGCATCTTTCCTTAGGCTAGGAACTGACTGCTGCGCTCACCTCTGACCACCCAGCTCGAGACAATAGACTTGCCTCCTGCTACGCCCTCTGAGATAGCAGACCCACTACCTGCTGTGTCCATCAAGTGCTGTGCCGACGGGGCAATCTTGTGACTATTGCGGGAGGGACATTTC